ATTAGATACTCGAATCATATCCTCTCCAGCTGCCGTCCAACACGCGTTCGCGGACGCGAGCGAGAGCTCCGTCTCAGAAGCGTTCACGGTCGCGAACGAGAGCTCCGTCTCAGAAGCGTTCACGAACGAGAGTTCCGCCCCAGAAGCGTTTACGGTCGCGAACGAGAGTTCCGCCTCAGAAGCGTTTACGGTCGACCTCGAAGAATGGTGGTCAGGTGAGCAACGGCGAGTCGAGCGCGAGCTCGAGCTTTCTGTGAATCACCCATTTGGAGACCACGACTACACGTGCAGTCAACTTGCGCCGGACCACTGAGGTATGGGTCGGAGACATTGTTCAAATAACCGATATAGGATGCCGTCACCCAAAGAGCAGGACATCGTCGGGAGTGTCGCTTATAATGGCAAACATCATCGAGCGATTCTGTTGGCAGGCACTTCGATACGCGGCGGTACACGGTCTCCATACGCCGTTGTTCTTCGAACTGCCGAGGAATGCAAGTACGAAGAAGTTCAAAAACCCTTATTATTCCAATCGACGGTCATACCGAATTTCCGATGACTCATGGCACAAACAGCTTCCGGCCAACGTAAACAACACAATGAATATTCATAGTCTGAGGTATGGGTCGAAGATCTAGTTCAAATAACCGATATAGGATGCCGTCACCCAGAGAGCAGAGCATCGTCGGGAGTCGGGAGTGTCGCTTATAATGGCAAAAATCATCGAGCAATTCTGTTGGCAGGCACTTCGATACACGGCGGTAAACGGTCTCGATACGCCGTTGTTCTTCGAACTGCCGAGGAATGCAAGTACGAGGAACTTCAAAAACCCTTATTATTAATCGACGGTCATACGGGATAGCCGATGACTCATGGCACGAACAGCTTTCGGCCAACGTATATATAAACAATAAATATTTATTGCCGAAGATCACTGATATCACTGAAACCGAGCAGGCAGAGATTACAAGAAATGGGGAGGGAAAATGAATGCCGAGTCATTCAGGGAAGGGGGGCGCAGGCCGGCTGATTCGTTTCCGTGGGTCGGGGGGCGATCTAGCAATAAGTCGCCAACTTCTCGCGGCGTCTGGCGTTCCGATACAGAGCCGCCGGGCACGGGAATTTTTCCGGCCAACATAGCGGGCGGATTGTGCGGCCTCCGTCGCCTCTCCAACCGCCCGCTGATCTCGAACGAAGAGGAATGCATCCATCAATGTAAACATGGCAGCTCTGTTTACTACCTTATGTGAGCTATCCATGCGAACGTGTGTAACACGCCACCTTTCAGGCGGTGAGGGATGCCCACTGGAATCCGGAACAATTTCGAACACTAGTCCTAGTAGCTTGATCTGTTTGACGATCGATTATTATTATTATTTGGACGATCTGTGGCTGGCCGGATGGCTCACCGACGACCCGGTTGCCAGCTGGGTTGGTCAACTGATTGCTTTGGGTGGTCGTCGGCGCCCGTCCCCCTAGAGGAGGAGAGCCCGTGGACGTCGTCTGCCTGATGCGTGAAAACACAAAACCAACAAGTGGCCACCGGCGCGGTATTGTGTACATTCGTGCACAGCACACCGCTAGCAACGAACGTCAGTCCGTCAGCCGCTCGGTCAGAGCCTCGATGCGGTCGTTGCCGACCATCAATAGCGCACCCATCTGAGCGAATGTATGCGGTAATTGCAGAGACCGACCCATGGTTCGATGCTCGAATGACGGGTTATACTTCATACGAGATATCGAGGCTGAAAGAGAAAAGCATCATCGCTGTGGTGCTCGATCCGATTTACAAGCATCATCGATAGTTCGTGATGTGTGCTCGGTTGTCTAGATATTCCAACGGTTTTCTATCTAGGTATCATTAATGAATTATTTGGTTTTCGTGGGGAGTCAACGCGGGAAGTCCGAAGGCATACACGCCCCATCGGAGTAACCCCTCGAGCAGGGGAAAGCCGTTGGTCGTTGAATTCCGATCCGTCGTTCTTCCAGGACCCGCCTGTTGAGCCTGAGAGATCCGGGAATAGAGAATTCACTGGAGACTGGAGACTCACTACGCTTCCTCGTCATGGCAGACATATCATATCACCTAAAACTGAACAAGGTCCCTCGGCTTTCACGGATACTCTCGACCAAAATGTTTCGTCCGCGATCAATTCCGAAATCTTCCCTCCAGAGACGTCAAGAATTTGCCAAGCTCATTCATGATCCGTTATGTGGTTCTCCTAGACCCTGAACTCTAGTCGAGCTCCCCAGAAATTCCTCTTGAGGAAAGAGGAAGGGAGATAGCGATACCTCGAGGCCTTCCGCGAGGACGCGTCATTAACATCGAGATGAACTCTCAAACATTCGCCACCACCTAGTTGGCATCGAGCGACAGTGGAGGAGACCCTACAGCGTTCGACTTAATCTCACCAACCCGTTGCCTGTGCCAGTACAACCTCTGCCACTCCATGATCAATAACTCTTAGATCCGCTCAGGAACCATGCATCTCAACGAATTCAGAACCGCTCATCTCACATTCAGCATCAAAGTCGGAGCTCCCTGACTGATATCCGGGAGTACCGTCTCCGGACGGCTCTCTCCCTCCCACCCGGTACCGAACTGAGTTAATTATCCTCGCTTGCACCCTCCAACGCCCTGCGAACGCTCCTTTCTCCCACACTTCTGTGAACCAATTTATCGCACTCAATATTCGTTCGAAAGGTACGAGGACCTCTGACAACTCCGTGGTGGCGCAGTCCAATTCAATTTCCGTCCGGTTGTTTTTCATTTGCGTAAGCGAACATCGCCGACGGTATCGCTGTGGCTTTGACCAAGCATCACGAGGAATGAGGAGGAGCGATTCGGGGATGGAGAAGAATCACCACGCTCATCGTGCGATATGAAGTCCTCTCCGACTCATAATCAGGGCTGGAGATGGGTTTCGGGTAGCAGGTGGAAACAGATCTAATTCAAAGATTTGGGATGTGTCGTGCGATCATTCTCCACGGAGCGGAAGCTGCTTCGGATCTATCGAGTAGGATTTTTCACCGTCCTCCTGGGTTATTCAGGCTTCACGCCTCCCCATGCCGCAGTTACAGTGGAACCTCGACTTACGAACTTGATCCGCTCCGGAGGGTCGTTCGTAAGTCGAAACATTCGAGCTCAAGCTGACCCCAGCATTTCTGTCGAGCAGAGGGGTCATGATTGACATGACTAGGATGCTTTTTTGCAAGGCGGATGAAAAAATTCGGGAGATTGTCATCTTCAGTAAGTTTGTAGAGCGTTCATAACTCCAATCCACGTTCGGAACTCGAGACACTCCCATCCAGAACGGAGCCTTCGTTAGTCGAATCGTTCATGAGTCGGGGCGACCGTGAGTCGAGGATTCACTGTACCTGCCCTGCTGATAATTTCGACAACGGACCTTTGTCCGAAGAGCCGCTACTCTCTATTTTCCGTCTAATAGAAAGTTGATTTCAGTGGGCGAGGAGCCCGGAATAGAATGTGTGCGGAGCAGCGCCGGTAGCGGGGAGGGGTGGAGAGGGTACACGTGGGTTCAAAGTCGTCTGCTATTGGGTCCGAGGAGGAACAAAACAGAGGGCCAATGAAGAAGTGATGTGATGCTCTCCGACCGAATATTCTGAGCTCGAGTGGAATAGTTGCCCATGAAGCTGTACCTCTGGCCTCTGTAGTTCGTGCCGAAAGACTCGGCGGAACAGCGCTGAGATAACGTCCGTGAATCACATGCTTGGTCGCTGGAACCTTAATTCCGAGATTAAGGAAGAAGGCGGCGAGCAGCTTTGCTGGCGACAGGCGGACGATAATGGTAAGCTGGAAGATTCTTGTTGCAATTCTCTCTGATGAGCGCGGAGCGGGCGACATGAGGAAAGTCGGCGAGGTCAGTGGACGTGTTTTGAACCTCTGTCAGGTGCCTGTGAAGCTCGGGGCGGCTTCGCGAAGGTCTCTCGCCTCCGAGGAAGAGAGCGTAGTTAAAGATGAGCCACGGAGTGCATTCATCCCGTCGTGAAAGAAACATTCTCGACTGTGCAGAGAACCTCCACGGAGAATGATGAAATATCGGAGACGATTTGCCGCTCATAACCTCGCTCGTATCAATGATTCTACCGCCCATGGATGGACATTCCGCTCCATTGCGTCAGAATACGGATACTAATACAGCTCGTGATTCCAGTCCTATCAACCTGAGGAGTTATCGATCGCTGGATCGTTCCCCCGTGACTTCCACTATGGAGACACGGAGAATGATGTCAATCTTCAGACGGAGCGGAGTTTGCCTTCACCTAAGATTCTGCTCATGGGTCACACTCGATGCGGGAAGAGTTCAATCGTGGAGGTGGTTTTCCACAAGATGAATTCAACAGAGACGTTGTATCTGGAGAGTAACAACGAGATCAAGAAAGAATGCATCCGGAATTCGCCTTTCATACAACTTGAAATCTGGGACGTCTACGGTGAATATGACATGAGCTCGTCAATCGATCTCGACTCCGATGGATGTTACTCCAGATGATTCCGCGCGTCTCTTACGGAACTAACCCCGAAATCTGAATAGGAGGGATCGATCTGAAAGACGACAAAAACTCAGCTCTCTTCGAAGATTGCGATGGCATCGTATTCGTGATTGATGCGCAAAACGAGCTCGCTGAAGTGAAGGAAGCTGTGAATACCATGCTATTCGCTGTGGAAAAAGCACATAGGTGAGCTGATCGGACTGTGGGATATCGACACGATGCCTCTCGCCCGTGATCTCATCCGAGAGATATCATTTCCGCAGATTGAACCCGAGCGTAAACATCGATGTATTCATCCACAAAGTCGATGGCCTCTCAGATGATCAAAAGATCGAAACTCAGAGAGAGATACAGTCTCAAATCGAAACAGCTACGGACAATTCAACGCAGGTCACATTGAATCTGACATCAATCTACGACCATTCGATATTCGAGGCCTTTTCCAAGACCACACAGAGACTAATTCCGCAACTCCCTACGCTGGAAAACCTTCTAACAGTTTTCATATCGGTGGGTCCTCATAAAATGTATAATCATTCAAAATCATCGAAAGTGGAGAACCGCCTCCCATTGAGAAACCTAGCCTTGAATGCCCGACTTCTGGCTTTCATATATGCATAGAGCAATCATAATATTTGTTAGAATCGCCATCATGATCGCCATGAGCCTGAGCCTCCGGGGTAGCGTTTCCGGAAAAGGAGCCTACGGCCACGAGCAGAGCTCTCGTGAGCGACAGAGACTCGCAACTTATGTCTTCGGACAATCTCTCCGCAGCGTTTGGGCAATACAAGATCGGCGGGGGTTTTGCGCAAATACTGCAGACTAGGCCCCTACTTAGCTCGGAACGGGCTCGATAGCGGGAGTGGTCGGAGGATAACCTCCTCGAATGTAGGCCACGGTGATCTTGAAATCGGGACCAAGTACTCAAGCATTCTTCTGTGTTGCATTGGTGTCTTTGCGGTTGAATCGTTAGTATCGACCGAGAGTCCCTTGTCGGAGGCAAACGGGAATTCCCAGAATCGAATCACTCGGAACGACTGCATCATTAGTCTTACCAGTAACTTCTCTCTGAGCCAAATATCCCATATTTCCGCTGTATTTCCGCGTGCGGATGTATTGCACATAGATTCCGAGTCTTCCCATTTTACTGTCCACGACAGAGCACGGAGGCTCAGGGTGGGCAGCTGCGAGCCCTTCGACAGGAGTTGACGAGTCGCTTGAACCTTTTTGTGTCCACAGAACTCCCTCATCGAGCGGGGCTTCCTCTTTGACTTACCCTCGAAGATTTATATCGCCACTGATGCTTTCCCGGTCGACATGCAAATTTACGAATTATGTTGTGACATGCTGGACCTGACGATGGACATTTCCGCCATCTACGGCACGACGAGTGTTCCTTTTGATGAGCGGTCAGCCTCTGTGATCCGCCTGAGCAATGAAACAGTTTTGTACCTGAAGGAAGTTGGTCAAGGCTTGGCACTGGTGTGCATTATACGTCTGGAGAGCTTCAAAAATCAAGGTATGATCATCTGCTCCGTCACGAGCGAAGTCCGAGCGATGTCATGGCCATTACTATATGCTGAGTCTTCGCCGCATTTATGACATTTCTTATGTTGTCAGGTCTAATCGACTACAACTTCGACATCTTCAAGCAGAGTGTCTATCAGCTGTACAAACCGCGTAGCAGCAAAGAAAACACGCCTGAGAACTCCACAGTTGATGCATCGAGTGGAGAATTCCTTCCGTCCCCCGTTCAAGCGACCACCGCAACTTGAGTCCGGCGAGTAGTTCGGTGTCCCTCTAAATGAATATAAAAATAAACAATATTGATCGCTCTGACCCAACTTTGTCTTTGGATGGGTCCGTTGAACGAGGCTGCTTTGCACTTGGAGGGGCACTCGAGAGCTCCCCTGAGCGGAAGCATCCGCCTCGTGACCCAAACACAATAGAATGGGATACCGATATGAGTCTCTTTTGAGGAAAATATTTATTCAAGTCCATGGAAAAACTTGACTCGGAGCCGTTATCTTCCCATGACATTATTTACATTTGCGCAACAGGTTCGATTCAGGAACGCTCAACAATATGACTGCTCAACATGATACCGTGACGTGTTTACAGAAGGTTTTGGGAGGGCTTTGCGAATCGGTTTCCCGACTTCTTTCACCGTCGAGGTTCTCTCCTGGCGTCCAGAGATGACGAGCACTCAAGTTGATGACGGTGGGCAGCTTTCTAATTTGAGCTCGTTTCCATCACGATTTTCCCTCGGTCGGTGAAGACCGCGACAAGCGAGCACTGCCGAAGTTCGAAGGATGGTTCCTCATAACACTACAGACGCTATGCTACATACAATCGTTGGTGACCCGATAATTTGATGAGCGACGAACGAGGCTATTGATAAGTGACGCCGACTTCTTGATCATGTAGAGAGTAATGCGTTCATGTCTTGATAGCTAAATCTGCTTTGACAATAGAAGCGTCATTCAGGACTCGGACCGCCTCAACTCCTTCGGTCGAGTGCCAGATGACAGCCCGGCCCGTTACAGAAACAACACTCTCATCATTCTGTGGGGAAAAGCTCTCATTAAAACTTGAAGAATCAAGCCTCCAATCAAGCAGCTCGTTGATCGCCCGAATCACGGAGAACTTCTTCGATGACGAAGACGCTTTCTTTACTCACCAAGACAGTCTCATATACGCTCCGCATCCACGGACGGGTGTGCTGATATGCCCTCCAGAAGAAATCAATGAGTCCTTTGTCGCGTTCGTCTTCGTCATCGAGTTTGATGTCTCTCATTCTCTGCAGGGCATCTATGGAGCGGTTTCCAAAGTAACCGTCCCTAAGGAGTTCATACGCGGGGGTGCCAGGTCTAACGAAGGGCATATAGCCGGTCAAGATAAAAGCATGTGGCCGTGATTCCAGCTTCCGCATCAGGCAGCCGATGAGCAGAGACGACACAGCAGAATTTTTGCTTTCCATTTGTACATTGACAAGCGTTGTGATCTTGCCGTCGACGCCCAAGGTGAATACCGTGAACTGGAAGGATTTCGGAGGATTCATGGCATTGGAAACGCGACAGTTCCACCACCAATATTACTGCATCATCACTCTAGATGAAGACTCCGATGATAATAGGCGAAATCTCTGGCCATACACACCTCATCGGTTGGCGTGCAGTACGCTCTCAGATATTCTTCAACTCTCTTCCTATTGGGCTTCGAAGTGACTTCCTCAAGTTCATGTAGTGCCAACAAAATCAGCGATTGAGTCTCGAAAGGCTCTTTGATCTCGATACGGCTCGGCGTTGCAGCAGATCCCCTCTCTCTCACAAGCAAGCGAGTGGGCCCATCACCGTGAACTTTGTAGCTGAAATATTGTACGACATTCATTGACATAGGTGCGAGTGACAGATCGGGAACACCATGTCATCCCGACAGATATACGAATGAGCTCAAACGCGCTAGTGGGGCTATCCTCTCATCCAAGTACGAAAATCATCATCCGTAAATTCAAACTCATGTACGAACTTCGCCACAGGAACCATTCGAGGCGGTGGCGAAATGGAGTAACAAAAAGATACTCTTTTCATGCTCAAATTTCGCTCTCCGACTAATAAGCTGACTTGTAACCTTCACTGATCTTATAGACTGTTTCCCTCAAGTCTCTGATTCTCTACTGGAGCTACCATTGCTGAGTGTCGGAATTGAGTGAACAGCTGAGCGAAGATCGATCAACGAAGCATGATAATGATGAATCATATGAATGACTCGGAAGCCTCCAGAATCTGATCAATTCTCACTGGGCTCTCCAATTGTCGTAGTAGACATGTAACCAACCAAATGCCCTCAATCGAGTCTCGACCAACTCTCCACCGTCAAATATACCGAATATAAGAAGCTCGGAATTCTCGCCCAGGGGAATGAGTCAATTAATGCTGCCATCCGGAATACCCACCCACACGATTCAGCGACGCGCAGGGCCGCTGAGGTGCTTTTTTGCGTTGCCACAATGTCGGGATTCTCGAGCTTGCCGAGCAGAGCCTTCATATACTCTAAAGCCTGGCCGGTGTCGTCCCCGAGCACCGCTGATGCCACAGTCAAGTCCTTTCTTAAATCTCCGATTTTGCCGTTCACTTCATATTTACCAGACGGCGGCTTGAACTTTGTTGCGTCTTTATCGCCATTGGCCACGTTCGATTCATTTCGGGGAGTCTTCCCCGAGACGAGCCGATCCATGGCAGAGGAATTCTGTGGATTCGAAAAGAACTCCGATTCCGAGCTCCCGTCTCGCACAATAAAATGAATCGGAATCAGATACAATAACAGATGCTCCTGCGTTGAGCCTCTACAACACTCACACTAAGTTTCGCTCTAGTAGGCGTCACCATCTTCCCATCCGAGACCCGGTTTATGGTATCTTCGCTTTGCGGCATTTCGAGCTTGACATTCGACACGCTCTCGAGTGTTCTGTTTGCGTCCGAGGAAGGCTCGTCGAGGTGTTTCGGTGTTGAAGCCGGGAGAGCTCCACAGACATCTGTGAGAAGGGAAATGTGAGGTTGGATCGTCAGTTCAAGGCCCTCATTCACAATATCGTCGACAACCGGTTGAGGTATTGAGGAGCTCCTAATCGCACGTATGTCGAGCCTATAACGTGTGCCCTCACAACAGACAAGGATTCTTCCTCATGAGTTCTAACGAGTTTAACGAGATTCTTCACCGTGGGACTCTACGGGGGACAGCGAGTAACCGCAGTCAATAACCGCGTTTTTTAATGAAATATGCGTTTTCTTGCGAAGCCTATGCGGGACTCTGCGATCCCCGTCGTGCGAACCCCATATTATGATCAGGCGAGCGAGCGTCTCTTTCAGTGCTTGCTAGGTTCTTGGTATGGCTGAGCGGAGAAAGGTAACGACACGATGACTATCAGGATAGAAGTGACAGCAGCGCAAGACGGCCGCTCTTCCATCATCGAATAACAGATAACGAAGACCCAACACGAGCGCGTGAAACGGCGTTGACTTCATGCCGAAAACACCAGGTTCCTTCGCGAGCGCCACAGCATTCCCATCGATCGCTGCATCACTTTCACGAGTCTCGTAGCGCTCAAGCACCGCCCCGAGATCATCCAAAGACATGTCTGGAGTCTCATCCAGAGCATGAATTATCACCGTTCGGATTTGCAAATACGACGGATCCGATAACGAGAGCAGAAGGATGAAGAACTTGAAATGGTTCAAGGAGAAAGACGAAAATTCAAATTTGTCTCCCTTAAGGTTTGCTGAATCGAGCATCTCTTCGCCCGTCAGCCCTGGGGGTAAGCGATCGACCAATAATGTGTCGTAGCGACGGCGGGATAGCGACCGGCGCGACGCAAACATCGTTTTCAGCGAGGAAACAATCTCCACGTACGGAGTCTAGGGCGATGTACGAGCACGAACACGGTCATATTCCTCTTGCCCCAACGCTCGAAGTACTATCTGCTAACGCTCCGAATCCGAGTGCTCTCCCCCGGATCCACTGACCTGTATTAGGAATCTTCTTCGCTCTCCGGTCGTGGCTGCCATCGAGACAATCACCGAGTTTTGACTTCTTAGCCGCGCCCTCGTTTTCCATTTCGTCCTGCTCATCGACTACGGGTTCGCTAGCTTCCCGCCTCTTGCGGCCACGGCCCGGGACGGCTCCACGAGGAGGATGTGGAGTGTCTCTGTGTTCAGAGGCCTTACGTCCTCTTCCGTTCTCGGATTCTGTAGGAGTTTCGGGAGCTCGGTCCTTTACGCACGTATCGGCGATGACTCCGCTGTCCGAGTCCTGGAATAAGATGATCGGATCAAAGCTGACGCACATGCCTCCAGATGAGCAGAGGTCGCAATTAGTGTCGAAACAGGGGAGTCATTCTTTTTCACGAATTATCGAAGTTAAGTGAAACCTTTCCACATTCGCTGCTATTCTCTCCTTCATGATTGTTTGTAGTCGCTGCTAACGCCCTTGAAGACCGAGCTCTCTTCTTCGGAGGCTCGGCCTCGGCTTCCTCGATATCGTCTGGAACCACGGAGCGCCGGGTCCGCGCAGATCGCCTCACCGGAGGTTGATCTCCATCGTCCTCGGAGGCCTTCGCCTTCGATTTGCGAGGGGGCATTGTGCGACGAAAAATACGTCCTTGGAGACAGCTGAAAGAGCAGACAGCGGATCTGACACAATCGATAGGAATCGAGTCATTCTTGTTCGAGGGAATAAGTAGGAAGCTGTCGTAGATGATGTTCGCCGACGGAGGATATTCTCAAAGCATGGTTTACATGTTTCGCAGGAAGAGGCTGCAGTATCGTATTCCATGTCGAGAACACTGCGGCTCCACTGGCCGCCGCCCATACTACGATTATCGATCAGCAGTTTGACTCCGGTAGCGAGCGAACATCCGCTCTAGACTCTCCGGAAAGCCGATATCGAGCTTTTCTGGCAGACATCATCTCGTACGGAGTCGTAGGCGGGAAGCCGAATCATTAGAGCAGGTGGAATCTAGCGTGTTTGAGTTCAACCGTGGATTCAAATGGGCACGCTCAGGTGGCACGAAGCTAGCGAACCGACTTATCGATCCCCAGCCCTCACGCAATTGAGCACGGAATTAGGGATTCTATATAAATCGATGTTTTCGTACAACACCACTGCATCAAGTAGTACAGCTGATCTCAACTATTGTAGACGGACTGTATCTGCACGCTATCCCCATGTCGCCTCATTACTCATATCAATTACTCACATCGATAGTCCGCGATCCTCGGAACGAGCGCGGTAACGATGTAGGCTAAACGCGGAAAGGTGATGCTGACAAAACACACCGGGCCCGTGTCCTTGTTGCCACTGGCTGTGGCGGCGACTTGAGGTGTGGAACCGTTAAGCGCCGGCAAAACACACCGCTGCACCCGAATTACAAATCTCGTGCACAGCTAGACAGGAGAAATTTTCGGACAAGCAGAGCCGAAGAACTTCGTTTTCCCTCTGGGAAATCCCTCCGGGAGATACCATCTGTGAGCCTATCTTACTTCAAGAGAGAACCCGCACTAAAGAATTGGGGGAGGGGGGGTAGAACCCCGAGAGGAGATGCGATCTATCACGGCAGATGATGTGATGATGATTATGATGATGACAGTGATCCGCAAGGATCGTCCCAAGTAAATCGAGCGCTGCGTTCCGCGCTTCTCTGGATCCGACTCTACAACGCCGACGGCGTACAAGCTCGAGGAACGCTGTGAGAATCGCAAGCGAGAGTTCGAGATCTCGAGGCGAAGGCTAGATGCCACGAGTCCGAGACTGCTCTCCGTCTTGCTCGGCTTCGCACACCGTCTTGACCACGTCTTTGCTCTCGCTCGCATATCCCCGATGCTGCGAACCTGACTTCTGGCGCTTCAGAGATCAGGGTTTCGTCCTGACATCTGCAAGTACTATATCATGAGCTCGGATGCAGCCTCTCCCCCAGAGCCTAGGGAATCACGGCACCGGTGGGGGGGGGTCGATCGTACTGGTTCCTGCGTAATCCTCAGGGATCCTGCGCCATCCCCCAATATCTTGGAGCGGGGCCCGGAGGATTCCGAGAACGGAAAAATAGATCAAGTAATTGTGGCTCCGACGGGGAGCAAACATCGGGGCCCGGAGAAAGCGAAGGAAGCGCCCGGTTCGCTCCCTCCTGGATCGGCGAAGATCATTCTCATCATCGCCATTGGGGGCTGATGGCATTCTTGGTTACACGTAGGCTGAGCATGATGTTCACTCGCATGTTCGTCAAGAATCGGCAGACCCGTTCGAGGAATACTGACGGAAAGCTGAACACGAGCGAAATCTCTTGGTTAGGGGGACGTCAATGATGTCAGCTATGGGAGCGTTGAAACTTAGTCAAGTCACACATGCTTTCGCGACAATATCGACCGGAAAACTGGAATTCCAGCGCTATTGTAGGGGAAAGCGCAATGCTTCGAAACTGATTCCATTCGAAGAAAACAGCCGGAGATTCTCACAGGAGCGCATTACAAAGTATGGCGCGCATGAGAAATCAAGAGTGTCAAAGCCTTGGGGAAAGAGTGAGGCACCACGGCAGTAGTTTCGGTTTCCGGTGTGTTTCTTTTTGATCGAAACCTCGTGGTCGACGTAGGCAACTCGTTTCGGTCGCCGTGATGGGAGAAAACGTGTGCATCAGGCCGCTGGCCACGGTTTACGCCGAATCTAATGAAGCATCCGGGACCAGTGCCGGTATGCCGGCGGTTTTCAGGGCTCCAATCAGGCCGGATCTGATTTCGTTCGTTCATCACCAGCTCCTGAAGAATAAACGTACTCCCTATGCTGTGTCGAAGGAAGCTGGCCATCAAACATCGGCTGAGTCGTGGGGTACGGGTCGTGCTGTAGCTCGTATACCCCGTGTGCGCGGCGGTGGTACTCACCGATCTGGTCAGGGAGCTTTCGGCAACATGTGCCGAGGAGGTCGCATGTTTGCTCCGACCAAAACATGGAGAAGGTGGCACCGTCGTGTCAACGTTACTCAGCGCCGGCACGCAGCCGCTTCTGCGGTATCTGCATCGGGCGTTACAGCCCTCGTCATGGCGAAGGGTCACGCAGTCGAGCAAATCAATGAGCTGCCGCTCGTGGTCGCGGACAAGGTCCAGGATTACCAGAAGACGAAACAAGCCGTGAACCTGCTCAAGAGCTTGAAAGCATGGTCTGATGTTGAGAAAGTCTACCAATCGAAGAGGCTGCGACCTGGTAAAGGCAAGAGGAGGAATCGTCGCTACAAGAAGAAGTGTGGACCGTTGGTCGTTTACGAGAAAGACAACGGTATCGTTCGTGCGTTCCGAAACATCCCGGGCGTGGATACCTGCAACGTGAACTCACTCTCAATCTTCAAACTTGCTCCCGGAGGCCATGCCGGTCGTTTCATCATCTGGACTGAGGCTGCCTTCCGTAAGCTGAACGATATCTTCGGCACCTTCAGTAAGGCATCGAAAGTGAAGAAGGCCTACAAGCTGCCCAGGGCCATGATGACGATTACGGACATCGGACGTCTGCAGAAGTCCGAGGAAATCCGCGCAGCCTTCCGTAAGAGCTCCGCGAAATCCATCATCATCTCGAAGAAAGAGAAACCGAATCCGCTGAAGAACCCTTACTTGCTGGATAGGCTGAATCCTTTCGCGATCGTGGAGAAAAGGAGTCGCATCCTCAAGCTCAAGGAAGAGGCTGGGAAGAACCTCAAGAAGCCGCGTGCCCTCGAGAAGATGAAGGCCACCAAGAGGATTTTCAAGAAGATGAACGCTTCCGAGAAGACCAAACTGAAGCGATTGTCAAACGTCTTCCCGAAAAACCGTGGTGCGAAAAGCAAGAAGGGTGGGAAGAAGGTTGCCCGCGCAACCAAGTGAAAGCGTCCTACGATCGTTCTTGGAGTATTCCTGTTTGGAAACAGATCTCTAATAAATGACGTTGACGCTCATATCTGTCAGTATTTTCCTTCACCCAGGTCGCTCGTATCGGTCAACATAACCTCTTTGCTCTTGCTAAGAAACAGATGTGTGCGATTATCGCTTCCGGATAGGGTCCATCCCATGAGAGGACGCTCATCTTTAGTGGATATTTCAAAAGACGTTCCAAACCCGAGGAGGGGATGGTCCTGATCTCCCTCGTTGCAGTCGCTTGCTTCAATAATTTGGAGAAGCTGCGAAGCGAGTCGATGAGTGCTGAACCTCCAGGAAAACGCCGACTTGAACCGAATTCCTCTGATCCCGGAAGGGAGCCCGAGATGGCAGAATCAAATCACCATGGATAGAGCTCCGAACAGGTCCCGTTACATCCGGGTTGTTCGCTTCCTGGTCAAATGCACGAAATTAATCTTGATCTCCATGGTTTCAACTCGCCCCTTCAACGAGACATGGAATGAGGCTTCACCTCACAACAGAAACTAACCTGCCCGCGTAAACTTTATTTGATTGGAAATAGTTGTGGTTTCTCACCTGAATGGATGAGAAGCTGTATCTGCGACGGTCTCTTGAATCGATATGAAACACGAAAAACTTGAGTCACTCAATCTTGGACTTGAGCAAGTGTTTCCTGAGTTCGCTCTGGAAGAGGGCAAAGTAGTCGAAGCCGCTCATTCCCACGAGTGAATAGATCCAGATAACCGTCGCTCCAGAGGGAGAGTCTGCCGGCTTCAGTCTTTCCCGACTCGAGTCTAATCGATCATACGAGTATCACTGGTTCTGGTGTCTCGATTTCCTCCGAGGAAGTGGATCAGAGACGTCCACATATGCATGTGAAGTTGTCCTAATGTTCGAAAGAGGGTAGACGCAAGACGGGAGCGGTTAGAGGAGCCGCGCGAATACCATCCAAGGCGAAATTGCGCCGTTCATCCATGGAATCGATATGAGAGCACCCGACATGACTTCTATGAGAATGGTTGTCCAAGGTCCGGAGCTAGAGACGGAAGTTGCGGACTCAATGTGGGCTAGATTCATAGATGGATCCGATGCAGAATGCTCGATGTTTTCCGGAGGCATCCTGATTTTCATCGCTCGTAGGACCTGGCTGCAAACGTTGGTGATTCTCAGGGATGCGCTCCGTCTAATGGCCGATGTTGAGTTTTTATTTCCTCTACGGGAATCCCCCGAGGGATTGCGACTGGCGTCATTCTATTCCGAAGGTCAAGCTCAAGGTACGCCCTTCCGTACAGTTCGGAACGAATCTCCTGCTCGGGGACGTTCGAAAAATAGGTCGCCTGCGAGCTCTCGATAGAACCGAGGGTCCCGCTCCGAGTCCGGTTCTGCTTCCAGTTAAGCTGGAACGTCCACCGGTGCCGTGTCCGGTTTCCGTCGACGAATGTCCGCTAAAATCGAAGCTCTGATCAGAAGTGATCATGATGAGCTCCTCCGTCTCACTTAGACGGGTTCAGCGAATCGTTTCAGTATTGCGGCTCTCCGCTGGAGGAGTGAAAGATGTGTCGCATGCTCCTCGCTAGGCTGTGGCGTCCATCACCCGAAGAGATTTCACCTGGTCGCGATAGCGAATTATGTATAGGCTCTGGGGAGGCGCCTTCCCTCCCTCCATCCTTAACCCTCGCCGTCAACAAGATTTGATGGATTTTCCTGCCTCCTCGCTTCCCCTCGACAATAAATGCATGCACGCTACATGCAGAAGGATTCAGAATTTCGTGGGACCATCATAAAACGAGAGAGGGGGGCAGGGCATCGGAATCTGATCGTGAACGTGGGAACTCTGACCTGGAGGGATTGAGACCTCGATTCCCAGGAATTCACGGTCACAGTCGGGGAGAAAAAGGGGGAGTAGAGATGAAAATCTCGATAGGCCTGTCCGAGGTCTCCCTACCTCCCGATTCCCAAATCTTCTGAGAAAAATAAAGCCCCGATCCCCTCTAATCCCTTCTTCGTTCCGCTCTCTCGAGGAAGATTATCCCTCATCGACCGTGTATTGAATAATTTCCTAATGACATGCACTGAGAATTCTCCGCGATTCCGAGACTCCACCCCTTTCCCCATTAAGTTTTTAAGGCGAGGGGTCCCAGCATTCCTTGAACGGGGAACCCGAATCTCGGGATGCTATGTAGAACTCAGAGGCCTGGAGTTCTGGACCGCCTGTGGCCGCTGGTTAGGGATACATAGAACCCTGTCTATCCTCGCGTTTCGCCCTGATTGGCGCCCTGATCATTCGTGAGAACGATGAAATACTTCAATTTCCATACTTCTGCTCTTATGCAAATGGAATGGCCTCCTCGGAGTTCATGGACCTACTCAGATAAGATATCCCTCGATCGATAGTAGTTTCCGCGTTGCTCTCTTCTGTCGACTCGCTGAATGGAGGCTGCGATACACTGTTACAGCTCGATCAAACCCTCGGCCTCCGCGTGAATTCATTGTCTGCCATCCGGTCAGAAACAGCAGATCAGAGGCTTCGGATACTCTCCGAAGCGTTCTGCACACAGATATAAAACGTCCGACGCACGAGTCTCCCCGCTAGGATAGGAATCGGGAGGCGAGGATCGCATACGTCCCTCATCCCTCGTAGCTGTCTGTATCTTGTCCCGAGCTTAGCGCAAAGCACCGTAATCTCGGGCGGTGACGTAATCTCGAGGAACCGTCTTCCGGACGGCTCAAATTTTTCACAATTTCCTCTGGAACGAAGCTGTATAGAAATCGGATCGACGCCGACGGTGGCGATTCTGGGACCAGAGGTCCGCTGACGGAGCTCATTGTGGAACGAGCTGGATGGTGAATTGCTTGATGCCCTGGTTCCCCGAGGTTTCCTCGAGGGAGAATATCCGATGCCTCTCGCGGCTCCTCCACGACCCCTCCGGATTCCCGCAACGAATCTCTCGCCTGTCGCACGACGCAGTGAACTTCATCGAAGTTATTTCATTTTCAGTGCTTCCCTGAGAATGGAAGTTCTCGAGATTTCTTTCGACTCGACCTGTCCAGCAGGAGGCTTCCAATGAGCATAGTAAACCATTGCCTTCAGTCCTCTTGAATAAGCCTCGAGAGCTCTCTCAGCACCGGCTAGACGGGAAGGTATGTCCAAGCCTCGTTCCTCGAGGATGCCGGACATCGCCCACTCAGAATCCTCATCCTAAATGTCAGAGGAGCACAGCTTCCCGGAGGTCAGCCGTGGGTGGGCGGCATACCAGTTGCGGGACATTTCAAGCTCCGTGTCAACTCCTTAGAATCGAAACACGCGGCGCGGTTATGAGTCCCAACGTATGCTGCGATACGTTGGGATGGCAGGACGAGGGGAAGTCGGAATTTGAAATCAGGAGTCCAGCCGGTGAGAATCTCGAAGAAGAAGAGTTTATTTTTTTCAATACATTCTGAGCTCCCGTTTCCTAGAGTCAAGGGATCGTCGATGACCTTGCTTTCACAGCCTCACCATGGAGAGCAGTCACCTTCGCATTTTTGCAAGTAGGTTTCCATCACACCCGTATTGACATTCATCAGTGCTGTATACGCTGTCAACTTGTTCAAATTTGGCTGCGTGGAAAGAACATTGAAAATGTTCGCGAGGGTGGCATTTTTCTGTCCCATCTGACTCATGCAATAATTGCCAGTCGTACGTCGATCGTCGTAGAAAGGTGCCTCCTCCCAATGATCGTAGTTCGTCTCGAGCACGTACCAGTTTCCGTATTTGACACCGTTGGCTTCCATAGTGTAGTCGTCAGCATCAGCATGATTCCGATCCTTTGTCAGTATGCTCCCTTCGCCCGATTTTGAGCCACCGAGGATGAAATACACGGGAGCGATCAGCTTCGCTTGCCTCAAACGATTCTTGGCCTGGGCGAAATCCGTCTCGGACTCCAAGATTTCCCGAGCGAGGAAACTCACCCACTGCAGATCGCGTCTTCCCATGACGATCCATTGGAAGAGACCGATGAAGCCTCCGTTCACGTTGAATCGCTCATCAATCGTTAGAGACAGAGTATTAGGTTTTACTGCGGTTAGCACCCCTACGTATCCGGCGAAATTGACCGAATAGAAAAGAGTCTTCCCCCTTTTCGCCATTCGAGCTGCACAACGTTCTTCCGCAGAACTTCGGTCATCGACCAAGAATGTGTGGTACTATTCCAACCCAGGAAAAGACCGAAATCCAGGTTACGGCCGTGCAGGATCTCCCCTTGTTCGTTTTGTGCGACTATGGATGTGCAAACCGTGAAGAATTCGTAGAAAACATTGTACAGGACGACTTCGCCTAGATTCATCCCCGTGGCATCGGCCAGACTCTGGAGCTCCTCTCGATACGGCGAAGGCAGAGTCGAATGAAGAGACGGTCCGAAGTCGTCAATTAACTTGATAAGAGCGCCATTCAGGAAAGTGCCCACGAGATTGATAAGGGCTTCCCGGAGTTCCAGGATTTCCTTCTTTTTAGCTTCGATTAGTGATTTCCATCGCTGCTCCGGCGGTAAATCGAGATCGATTATCACTGTTGGAACGCTGGCATTGTGTGGAGGGGGATACGCCCCCGTGTTGCACTGAATTCCTTTGGTGAAACTCGTCGCGGGCAAACTGCTCACACATCCCAATAGGACAATTCCGGCCAAAATCGAAGCACCTATTGGAGCCATTGTGTACGGGGTAGGTAGCTGACTCGGTCTGAGATGATTCCGATGCTCACTCAACAATGAGAGGCGTTTAAGCCTCCTGTTGCTCAAGCACTCCGACAGAGAGGTAAGGGGAATCATAAATGCAGCGTTCAGGCTGCGTCACCGGCACCGCCGTCGAGCGGTCTGTTGCTGTCGAATAATCGAGCCTTATCGCATAAGAACGCCTCCCTGATTACCGAGTCATACCCTTCTGGTATTTTAGACTCCATAGTGCAGAATAATCGTCGGAACAGTCGAAAACGATTGCGGATTACGCCGAGTAGCTGCTCAGTAACGGTGCCCCGTCACTTGCAGATTGATCGTAAGCAGACGAAAAACGACGACCGTGATTCGAGTTACGTGATACGAGTGACGAGACACAGCTGGTAGAATCGGCGAGCGACGGAGCACTCCACGCTAAAAGGACGCGACTCGACTGCGTGCTCAGCTCGAATCGAGGTCCTGTTCGGAAACTGACCAAGATCGAGGAAACTCTGATTGTCCGCGATGGGATCTCCTCGTTGTGTTATAAGAGGGCAGCAGGAGATGGCATGCTCCCAACAGAACGATTTTGGCGGCTCCGGAACATGTTTTTGTTTTCAGGAGAGATGGTCACCATCCTCTGCTTACAATGCACTTGGCCTGACGTTTCCGGCCGATCACGCGGTTTCGGTTATATATCGGTATCGGTGCTACATCTCGCCTCAAGGTTGGACACCAGCCTTCTGATCTCAGGTGGAGCGAAAAACATCTCCAGACGGAGGTCGACATCATCGCTCATGATTTCGCCGAACAATTGTATCTCAAGACACAGCCTTACCGGATGAGCGAAGTGACTCCATACGAGCGATAAAAGGTCTTCCTCGTGATTCGCCCGTGTCCATATGGTTGTCAAGGTTCAGGATACCTGGTTGAGCCACCGGCCACGCTCAAGCTGGGACTTCTGGCTTTAAATCCTTCGGAGGTTTCAACCATTGTTAGCCACAGATCGAGCCACCATTTACCACAGATATGGAATCGGCCGCCCGAGTCCCTAAAGAAGGCGAGTTCTATTGAAAATTTCAAAACAGACTCCGGAGCTCTTACTCCCGGAGCAACTAACAGCCTGGGTACTCTCTCGCATAATTTATGTAAATCCACAGCTCATCGACAATCACGTTTCAGCTCGTCTTCTTTGAGCTGTGTCTTGGCAGTCGGAAACGTCAGAAGGTAATCAGCGAAAATATTGATTAATTAACAAATTTTCTTTGATTTCCCTTTGTTATGAAAACTTAGGACGCAGTCCTGAGTTGGTGGAAAGAGCACGGTGCTAATTTGCTCCAGAGACCATGATTCTGACTAATTTGGAACGATTATTCCCAGCGCCGTGAGGTTCTTCACGCTCCGAGAGACTCCTCATGAGACCAAGAGCATATAGAACTGGAACGGAGCGCGAGAGGATCACGGTGAGAGTACGATAACTCCTCGAAATCGGCGCCAGGCGCCGACTAACGTGAGAGGGAGCAAGATTCCGTGGCGGATACATCGAAATGTAGCCCTCGAGCTGGAATCCTAACCTATGGGCTGGACCGAAAGTGCGACTCTCGAAAAGCCCGCCTAGCTCCGCACCCGGATCTGCCGTTGGCCTAGTCGGACAGGCGGAGTTGCTCATGGTAAGCAGGTCAGATGGTGTCGCCCAAACGGTCTCGGCCAAGAGCATTCGGCCATCTCTGGGTAGCAAGTCTATAAATCGCCATCGGAGCAATTGGGCGGGCTTTCTGAATTTTCCGGATCCCGGCTTATTCGGAGGGGCGGCATTTTCGAAGCTCTATACATCCGATGGAGCATAAGTTAACCATTGAAATCGATTTCGACGAAGTTGTCGAAGATTTCGCTCAGACATTCAAAAAGGCCTGATCAGGGATGCTGCATGCGGATAAATGAATGAAAATTAATCGGGATGGCGAGGGTTTGCGGTTGGGGAGACAATGAGCGGGAGTCCCTTCGTGCATCCTCCCCGCGGCAGAGCAAAACTTCCGCGGGGCTAACTGGTAATCGAAGTGAGATATTGGAGAATTGGCAGAATAAACAATCTTCGAACGATGCTCATGGAAAAAAATTGCGTCTTCTTCATGTAACAATCCATATCAGCAATAATGATCCTCGAGACGACATGCAGCAGAAACGGCGGTGAAATCCGACTGCTGCCCCAAACGGCAGTCGAATCCACCGGCCGGCTGCACGCCACTGCCTCGTGTCCGAAACTATCGAGACTTATGTCTCCCGGGACCCCTGGAGGGAAAGTTTGGAGCCTGAGATTCTCAGGGGTTCCCGACGGCTTTCCGAAGCACGAGACTTTCTCGATATTTTCGGCCCTGAATTGGATACGATTCCTTCAGCGCACACGAGGCTCGAATGAGGGATCGAGCTCTGCTCGTCGAGACTTCCATCGCTCCGATAGTAGACTTGTCGGAGAAGCTCTCGATTAATCGATTAATCTCCCCCTCACTCCGTGCGTCGTGCGGTTGATGTCCGCGGGAGATTCCCTTCTCAATACGTCTCAGCGGAAAACCTTGTCATTTCGTCGAAGGGATCCTCTGCCGAAGGAATAAATTCGTTCCGAAACAACGAATGGGTCATGGAACGCGAGCTTTGTCGCTGTTGTATCCAGTGCGCTCGACGGCGCGGCAGACGCGTGCCTCTGGCGAAGAAATTCGTAAGTAATGCTAGTTGCTACAGCGATGACGTTCACTCGAGTACACGTCAATGACGAGGCTGCACTTCATGTCAGCTTGTCATGAAGTTACCAGCCGGCCTTTCTCCAGTCAGCCTCGGAACAGCGCCCCGGAATCATTACTCTGCCGGCTTATAGCAATATAGACCGCGCGGGCTCGGTTTCGCGATACGTGCCGTAGTAGATGCCATCGACGGCTGTCCAATCTCCATGAGATGCGCTCTCTACGGACTCGATCAGACGGTAGAGACACCGACATGCCCGCGCCGCTTGACGGCGCGGCGTCGCTGTTCTTCAAGGTTTGCCCGAGCTCGCCTTTGTTGGGGTAATGCTGCCGAGCCATTCTCTGTGATATAAACCCTCGCTCAATCGAATCAGACGACGAGAATCGAGCAGACATCGCGACAATAATCACTACCGAAAATATTCTATTTGAGGAGCATGCTCGTCTATTCCCCCAGCCTCCGAAATTTGCTTCATTGGAGACTGCTCTCGGGTCGGAGGCTACTCATCTATTTTTCCCATTCCCAACGATGAAGACAGAGCGAGGTTCGTTCTGAGGGCAATCGCCGCGGTATTCATTGTGGACACTTAGGCTGAGCAAAACGGTCTATTAGAGTTCTTTCCGCGGATCTTCCTCAGATTTCCGGCTCTACAAGGTAAATATTTCTAAGAGACTGCTCGCATGGTCGAGATCTTGTCTCCAATTAAAATTTGTTTAGGTACTCTACATCTTCACTCGTATCTTTATCTAATCATTGCCCCAACAATCGGCGACGGTAGGGATCTGGTGAATATCCTCAGGCAAATGACGATTCAGACAGCTCCGACTGCCGTACGCAACGTTCAGGTCGGAGCTTACGTCCCACGCTGCTGCTGAGAAGCTCAAAAAAATATTACGACAGACATCAGGGCACGCGTTCCCGTTCTTTTGTCGCAGGGTAAGATATGCTGTTAGGGCTCAATAGGGGACGCCGCGTGCCTGGGATATTCGTCGAATGGATTGGCGCGGCTATGGCTCACGTAAAATTAATAAGACAATCAGATGCTGTTATCTCCGGGAAAACGCGTTGGTCTCAAGTCATGGACGGACACCCACCTACGGCTAAAATGGTAATGAATCCGAGCTAGCGACGAGAGACTACAGCGAAGACCTCGGAATTCTCGTCTCAGCTTATCTCAACCCCGGGCCCCACGTTGTCAGCCTCACCAAATCCACCATTGCCACAGTCAATACCATATTTCGCTCCTTCATAATCCCCTCCCTCGATAAACATCGAGCTCAACGTACCGCTCATAGAGACTCAGCTGACCTACTGCTCGTCGGAGCGCCCCATTTCGTCGCGGTCGACGCGCCGCGGCCCAACTCGTCGCAGCGTCCAGCTCGCCGCGACCCGACTCGCCGCAGGGTCCAACTCACCGCCGGAAGCGACTGGTTCTCGGCTCATTCGTCTGA